AATGTTTCAAGGGTTAACTGGAGAGGCAGTTTCTGTAAGCAGGGTAATAAAGATTAGGCTAGAAACCACACCAGAATGTTTCCTTCCTGCCTTCTTTACAGGATTAGCTCTGTAAAGTAGGGGAGGGGGGGGACAAAAGGAGATTTCTTCCAACAACCGGTTCTCTGAACTGCTTAGAAAGTTAAGAACCGGTTCTCCCGAGTAGGTGTGAACTGGCTGAATCCCATCACTGACCCACAATGTGGAATCAACAGACTTGACTTTCCTTTGAACAATCTTGAGAATAAGTCTATGGAGATTCTCAGTCATCCAGGTCATGGTTGTCCCAAATGTGCTTTTTTTTTTTTCAAGAGGGAACTGGACTTTCTGCTTTTTTTAAAAAAAGACATTTCGCTTCTCATCCAATAAGCTTCTTCACCTCTAAACAATCTTGTCCAGAGGTCACCAACCTTTCGGACCTCAGGGACCACTAAATTAATAATTTTAAATTCCACAGACCACTAATATTATCTGCCTAATGACCAGCTGGGTGGGCATAGGAAGGTGGTCATGTGATTGGGTGGGCGTGGTCAACTTGATATCACTCACATCGAGGGGCACCTCGCCAAGCTCTACTCACCCCTCCCCCCCAGCCACTCCTCGTCTGCCCGCTGGGGCTCCTTAGGGCCCCAACAGGAAGCAGCTGCTGGAACTAAGCAACCACCGTGAGAAAGAGTGGGCAAAACAGCTGGCTCAGTTCAAATTGTATCTGACTAAGAAGGAGGCTCAGCAGAAGCACCTCAATGAGGTCTATGAGCATAGGCTTTCCAAGCAGAGGTAAGACCTGTGAGAGTACAAGGCCAGGAACCGGCACCTGGAGGCTCAGGGGGCTGAGGTGGTCAGCCAGTTCCAGTCCATGATGCAATCCCACTGGAATGAGGCCCTCCAGCACTTTGCCACCAACGGCGCTTCTCTCCAGCCTTCGCCCAAAGCCCCACACCAGGAGGCTGAAGCAGACGCCAAGTCAGAATTTCTGCCCACACCAAAATACCCTTAAGGGGAAGACTCTCTGCAGCAACATAAGCATTCATTGCACTTATACGGCCCAGGGCCGTGGTTTGAGGACCCCTGATTTAGTGCAATAGAAAAAATGCAAATAATTTTTCTGCGGACTACCAAAATTTTCTCGTGGACCACCAGTGGTCCATGGACCACCAGTTGGTGACCACTGATCTTGAGGACAGACCCAGCAGTCAAATTGTACCCTAAAGTATCAAATACTTACAACATTCAATGGGCACAGAAGCTGTCTGGATGGAAACCACTTTGCCGTTTCCCTGTGGGACATGAACCCGAAACACCAGCCGTACCCGGGTGTTTTTGCGCCCAATGTCCGTCTCGCCTTTGCGCAGCTCAATGTCTGAATTACGCAGTTTTAGGATTCCCGCACAGTCGATGCTAGACGGTTAGGGAGAAAAAGATCCAGAAGAGATAAAGAAAAAGACAAATGATAAAATGACAATCATCTTGTTAGATCAAGGGAACCAACCAAGGTTACCTTTATTTTTAAAGGAAAGGAAGGTGGAGATGCATTACTCCTCTTGTGAGTTCTAGTCTAGTTCATTTTAACGTATCGAGTAGTGCATATTCAAAGTTGCAATAGTTATTCTAAGTCCTGTCTTAGGCCTGAAAACTGGCAGGATGACTTTGGGCCGATCCTTCTCTCTCAACCCAACTGATTTCACGGGGTTGTGGGGAAAATAGGAGGAGGGAGACATATTGTGAGTGTTTGGAATACTGCATCCAGTTTTGGTCGCCTCGATGTAGAAAAGATGTGGAGACTCTAGAAAGAGTGCAGAGAAGAGCAACAAAGAGGATTAGGGGACTGGAGGCTAAAACATATGAAGAACGGTTGCAGGAACTGGGTATGTCTAGTTTAATGAAAAGAAGGACCAGGGGAGACAGGATAGCAGTCTTCCAATATCTCAGGGTTTGCCACAAAGAAAAGGGAGTCAAGCTATTCTCTCTCCAAAGCACCTGAGGGCAGGACAAGAAGCAATGGGTGGAAACTAATCAAGGAGAAAAGCAACCTAGAACTAAGGAGAAATTTCCCAACAGAACAATTACCCAATGGAACAGAAGTTGCCTCCAGAAGTTGGGAATGCTCCAACACTGGAAGTTTTTAAGAAGACGTTGGATATCCATTTGTCTGAAGTGATGTAGGGTTTCCTGCTTAGGCAGGGGGTTGG